AAAATTTTAATCTTAATTAAAATTATAGTATATATATATTATATTAAAGAAAAAAAAATTATGAATTGTAAAACATATTTATGTACTACTATTTTATTTGATTCTTATATGTACTATTAATTATATATTTATATTATATAATAAATTATTTCATAAAAACTTTTTGTTATTTATAATATTTATGATAAATTACATTTCATTCAACAAGAAAATTAAAAAAAATGAATTATCTAACATTTTTTATGTTTATTTCTATTTATTTCTTATTATTTTTGTATATGATATTCTTGCAAAGTATTTTCTTATAAATGCATGAATATAAAGAATATCATTTTATATATAATAAATATATTATTTTTACAATATATATTGTAACTAAACAATATTATATATTATTTGATATTATAACATAAATAATAAAAGTATTAAGTATACTAATATTTGTAATATTTATAAAATAAGATAACCTAAAATTTTAACCTAATATTTTTTTAATATATATAATGGAGTGGCAGAAGGTATTAGAAGTTCTTACATGTAAATCAAAATCAACATTTCTTTTACAAAAAAATATAAAACAGGAAAATGAAATTATGATTCATTTATGGAATGATCAAAATATAAAGTAAGAAATAAAAATTGTAATAAAGAATTAATATTTATTATTAATTTTATTTAATTCTTATAATTTTAAATATTAATATTTATTTATTTTAATAACTATCTTAATTTTTGTAACAAATTTTTATTATTTTTTGTTATGACATTATTTACATAATTATTTTTTATTTGTTTTATTATTTAATTTTTTACATTCTTTCATGTTTAGAAAGTTTATATATTTATGGTTGGAAGATCATTATAATAAAAAAGAATTTAAATCTATTACCAAAGCACAATCTTTTAAGATAATGGGAAATAAAGAATTTCAAGCAAAGAACTATATGAAAAGTGTTGAATCATACACAAAATGTGCTCTTTATGCTCCTATGAATAGTTGTGAATTACCAATTGCAATTGCAAACAGGTCTGCTTCATTATTTTATTTAAATAGATATGATGTAAGTAAAAAATAAATAATATTATTTATTCTATATATATATGATTATACATATAATGTTTTATTATATTAAAATTTATTTTTATGATATATATTTGTTATATAATCAATACAAATTGATGATGAAGGATTGTATAAAAGATATTGAATTATCAATTAAATTAAATTATCCTAAACAATTACATTATAAATTATATTTACGTGCGATACAATGTTATTTAAAATTAGGCAAACACCACTTAGCTAAAGAAACACTATCTAAAATACAAAAATTAATTCATGATCCTAATTATATAAAACCTTCTATAAGAGGTAAATAATAAATAAATAACTTTACATTTTTAAACATCTATTATTTTTTTATACTGAAATAATGTTTGATAAAATATTTCATTAACTTTCAGATAATATTGAAAAAAAAATATGTAATATAACATTTATTGAGTCATGTATTCAAGATATTGTACACAATACTGATGATATATTGAAATTAAAATCCCAAATTATATTTGAAGAAAATACAAATTTTCCTAATGCATCTATAACTATAGATAGAATACATAATGAAAAATTAGGAAGACATGTAGTAGCAAACAAATTTATTAAAGAAGGTGATATTCTTTTCTTAGAAGAACCTATCAGTTTTGTGTTATTAAATCATGATACATATAGTTTTTGCCAATATTGTAATAATTTAAACACTGACATTCCTGTTCCGTAAGTAATTTATTTATATTGATATAGAATATTTTTTCTTTTTTTTATATACTAAAATATTAATATTTTTTAAAATATCTTCAAAAATTTTTAAAAACTTGATTTTAAAAATTAAATAAATAAATTAGATAAATAAAATAAATAAATAAAAAATTAATACAAATTAATACAAATTATGTTGTATTGTATCATTTCAGATGTAGAACATGTTTAAATACTTTTTATTGCAATGAAAATTGTTTAACTAAAGCATGGTCTTTATATCATTGCTGGGAATGTCCTGGAAATCAAATGAATCTTTGGAAAGAAATTGGAATAGGACATTTAGCTCTCAAAGTTTTATTAACTTGTTCAACTATAACAGATAAGATTAAATTTAACGAAATGCAAACTTTAGTTACTAATTTTGACAAGTTATCTATG